GAGACCGGCCCTGCTGCGGCATCGATGGGGCAGGGTCTGACGGCCCTGACGTGGGGGCCTGGGCCCTGGGCAGCGGGGGTGGCCCGGGGGGCTGGGCAGGGACAGTCAGAGTTGTTCCCTAGGCTGACTGTGCTCCATTTTGGGTCCAGTGTCTGTTTGCCTACATGAGCCATGCACATGAGAGGGCCAGACAACATCCTAAAGTCACTTGATCATTTTTTGTCATTTTTTCCAGTTCAAAGTGTTTAAAATAACATGAGGTCTACACTGATACCCACCAGAGTGGTGTTTCTCTATGGAGGTGCTTAGGGTGTATGCTACATAGCCAAGGATGTGCATGATAGCATGAATGTTTGAGGGTGAAATTCTGTGTGGGTAAGCGTGAGGTAAAGCACATGGGGAAATGCACTCATAGCTTTGTGAGCAAAATGATGTTACTCAGCAGCGACAGCTATGAATCATGATATGTAAACTCCACACAACAGCTCAGCATTGTAGAAATCCATGGCTCACCCAGACCATCTTTACTTTGTGCACTTCTGGTCTCCTCATCACAGATGGGATCTACAAGAACTGGAAAAGATCCAGAGAAGGGCATGTGGGTGATGTAAGGTATGAATCTAAAACCTTACAATTTAAATAGTTTAGGATTCTTCAGCTCAGAAAAGAGACAAAGTAAGGTAGGTATGAAAGTGGTCTACAAAATTGTCAGTGGAGCACAGAAGCTTATAAGGATGAATTTCACCACTTTTGCCCAAGCAAGAACTGGGGAATAACTTAATAAGCTGTGGTGGGTGACCCTGGCTGGACACCAGGTGCCCACCAAAGCTGCTCTATCACTCCCCTCCTCAGCTGAACAGAGAAGAGAAAACATAGTGTAAGACTTGTGGGTCGAGATAAGGACAAGGAGAGATCACTCATCAACTACCGGCACGGGCAAAACAGACTCACCTTGGGGAAACTGGTTTAATTTATTACCAATCAAATCAGAGTAGGATAATGAGAAATAAAACCAAATCTTAAAACACCTTCTCCCCACCCTTCCCTTCTTCCTGGGCTTAACTTCATTCCCAACTTTCTCTACCTCCTCCCCACCAGCAGCACAGGGAGACAGGGAATGGGGATTGTGGTCAGATCATCACATGCTGTCTCTGCTGATCCTTCCTCCTCACACTCTTCCCCTGTTCCCAGGAGAGACAGTCCTTCATGAACTTCTCCAGTGTGAGTCCTTCCCACGAGCTGCAGTTCTCCACCATCTGCTCCATCATGGGTCCCTTCCACAGGGTGCAGTCCCTCAGGAACACACTGCTCCAACGTGGGTCCCCTGCAGGGTCACCAGCCCTGCCAGCGAACCTGCACCAGCGTGGGCTTCCCATGGGGTCACAGCCTCCTTCAGGGTGCATCCACCTGCTCCAGCGTGGGGTCCTCCCCGGGCTGCAGGTGGAGATCTGCCCCACGGTGGGCTTCCATGGGCTGCAGGGGGACAGCCTGCCCCTCCATGGGCTGCACCATGGGCTGCAGGGGAATCTCTGCTCCGGTGCCTGGAGCACCTCCTGCCCCTCCTTTTGCACTGACCTGGGGGTCTGCAGGGCTGTTCCTCTCACACATTCTCACTCCCCTCCCTGGCTGCAGTTGTGCAAGTTTTTCCCCCCCCCGCTTAACTATGTTATCCCAGAGATGCTACCACCATCATTGATGGGCTCAGCAGGTCTGTCTTGGAGCCACATGGCATGGGCTCTGCCAGACATAGGGGAAGCTTCTGGCAGCTTCTCACAGAAGCCACACCTGTAGCCCTCCCCACTATCAAAACCTTGCCATGCAAACCCAATACATAAGCTGATGAGATCCAGGCTCAAACCCAGGAAAAGTTAGTATCTCTTCTCATAACTCATAGTATAATTGGGGAACATCGTGCCAAGGATATTGTGGATGCACATATTGTGGAAAAGCACCTGAAAAAGAAATTCATTGTAGGTTACTAAATAGGCAAACAATAACAGATTCAGGAAAACCCCTAAGCTTAAAATGGTCAGAGGTTGGAGGAGTATTAAGGGGAAGTGACAATATGTGATTGCCCTGTTCTTCCTTTTCTTGAAATGCCAGTGCTTGAGTCAGGACACTGTAAGCTAGACAGCCGTATGGCCCCACTCCCATCAGTCTCACGCTCCCATGCCTGCCAGAACTGCCTTGAGCCTGGCCACTGCCACCCTGCCTGCTGGGGTGCTGCCAGTTGGGACTCAGTGGGGAGCTTTGCCTGCTACTGTCTTGGAAGAGGCTATACCAGAGTCAGGGAGGGAGCTGAGAGTGCCCCAGGGGTGCACACACTTGGCTGTCTTTAACTTAGCCCTGTTGACAAGTCACAGAATTACAGCATGGTTGAGGTTGAAGAGACCTCTGGAGGTCACCTTGTCCAAGCCTGCTGATCAAGCAATCCCTCAAGCTCAGGTAAAGACGACCTCGTGTATCGCCCTTCAACAAACCCCTCTGGCTGCTAGTACAGTTAACTCATTTTGCTTCAAAGCATATCATTATCAATTCAATGTCTAACATATTTTCTCACCTCTGTTCTCATTTTCCCATCACCCGACTCTCTGGAAGGCTGCTGCTGTTGGAGCTGACTAGCAGCAGATCTCTTTGTCCTCTTGGGCAGGGCCATTCGCAGTTGCTGGCTTTCTTTCAACTTCTCAGGTAGCAGCCTAGTCTACTCTTAAGAGCTGTCACAGCTGCATTAGTCAGAGTGTGACTCCCTGGCCTGAATTGTCACAAATACACTGGCAAGACTTCTAGTGTCCCTTTGCTGAAAGAGCACGTAACACTAGTCGCTTTTTCAATGACCTGACAAGTTCCTCCAGAGAAGCTGATTTAAGATATTCTGACTATCTCATCCTGGCAAAGACCATTAGGAGAATCACTTTTACTGGCAAATTTTTTAGATTTAGCTACGCTGCAGCTCTTTTAAGTAAGTGCCTCAAATGAAAATTATAATATAAAATTACTCTCACAAGAACGATTAGGATATAAGCCTTCGTTATTGTACTTAGTAATTAACTCCATCCTGAAAAAAAGAGCAAATCTTTATTGGAATAAATCTTGTACTGTCTTTCCTCAGTTATGCTGCAGTTCATAGTCTTAAAAGGCGTTATTGAGAGCAAAATTTCAATCATACTATTAATCTTGATACATTTGCAATACATCATTCTGGATTAATTTTTTGCAAATGCTCTCTTGTCAAACCTATAAAGTGTAATTTTGGAGCGCATAGTAGAGTAGAGCATAATGCTTAGTTGAAATATCTTATTTAAAGCTTCCTCTTCTATTTGACAAAAAAAAAACAAACAACAGCCTGAAGTCTGGACTCTGACTGAACTCCTGGTCTTTCATGACTTGGTTGTAAGTTTGATGACTTCTAGTATTTTTCCTTAAAGTCTAAACAGCTGGATTATGTTATCAAATGAGGAGACTGTCAGGCCTCTTTAATTATAAACCAAGAAGTTCAGAGCTGCCAGACAGAATACCTTTCTTTTAGCATAAATAAATATCTCACCCCCCTGCTTGACTATCTTGGCTCATGATGACGGCCAGCAGTCAGTTGTCTTCTTTTCGTTCTGCAGAAATTTTCAGCACTGGAACACTAATGGTCCTCTTTCCCCGGTTTCTGCACCACTGCCCACATGGCCTGGCTCTGGCATGCCAGAATTACTCAGCTGCAGAAGATAAGGTGTGCATGTTGTCCTGCTGGGAAGTGCCAAAGCTAACTGTCCTTTGAATCTTTCCCCAATATCTTCCACACCCTTAACTGCTGTTGTTGGATACAGTGAAGTACCAGAAAAATGGGGCAGTGTTTTGCTGAGTGCCTTAGATCCGAGGAAACTCAAAGGTTTGGCTCCTCTGCTGTAAACCTAAGAAGCCTTGTCAAAGGAAAGGACAACAGGCTTAAGCGAGG